CAAGAGAAGTAAAATTAGAAGTGGAGCCTGAGACACGTGAATGAACTGCTACGAGCTCATAATGAGACATTAATGGATGAGCAAGGAAAGTGGTTTCCTGAGATAAAAATCTATTCCTGGTAAGGATGCTATGAATGTTGTTGAAATGACAAGAAGAGATTTAGAATATTACATAAACTTAGTTGATAAAGTAGCAGTAAAATCTGAGAGCCTTCACTCCAATTTTGATAGAAGTTCTACTGTGGAAAAAATGCTATCAAACAGTGTTGCATGCCACAGAGAAGGATTTCAGGAGATAGCCCATCTATGCAGAAAGCTCATTGTTGTCTAACTTTAAGAAACTGTTATAGCCACTACCCTGATCAGTCAAGAGCTATCAACACTGAGGCTCTCCACATAATCAAAAAGATTACAACTTGCTTAAGGGTCAGATGACTGTTAGCAGTTTTCGGTAATAAAGTATTTTCAAATTAAGGCATGTACTTTTGATTAGACATAATGCTATTACATTGTATCATATTGCATTAACAGAGTAAAGTACAGTATATACTTAACTTTTATACACATTGGGAAACCAAAAAATCTGTACTAACTCACTGAATTGCAATATCTACTTTATTGCTGTGGCCTGGAGCCAAACTTCCACGATTTATGAGGTGTGTCTGTACATACATACCTATAATAAACTTTTACCTTTTCACTTAAAGGAAACACTTTACAGCTTCTCTTTGTCATATCCAAACTACCAGCGTCACTACTCTTATCCTTTGGGGTCATTATTAAGTAAAATAAGGGTTATTTGAATATAAGTAACTATATGACACTATGACACATAACAGTCAACCTGAGAGCCAAGATGGATACTAAGTGACTACCAAGCTAGCAGCATATATTGCATGAATATGCTAGACAAAGGCAGATAAAGTAGAGTGGGACCATAAGGGTTTCACCATGCTATTCAGAACAGCAAGCCATTTAAAACTTAAGAATTGTTTATTTCTAGAATTTTCCATTTAACATTTTTGGACTACAATTGACCCAGGTAATTGATACTGTAGAAAGCAAAATCTCAGATAAGATGGGACTATATACAAGTAAGGCTTGCCAAAGCCTTTTCCACTCTACCATTCAAGATGCAAAAAGAAATTCCTCTGGTCTTGCTTTTTGTCCAGGCTGGCCTGGACCACCGTCTTCCCTTTTATGCTTCCCACTGAAGCTGGAATAAATGGTGCTTGCCACCACACCCAGCTTTTTTCTGTTGAGATGCAGTCTTGCAAACTTTTTTGCACGAACTGGCTTAGAATCACCATCCTTCCAATCTCAGCCTCCCTCTCAGCTATTGGTTGAGATGAAGTATCACAAACTTTTGCCCAGGCTGGCCTCAAACCACAATTATCCCAATCTAGCCTCCTGAATAGTTAGAACAGACATGAACTACCAGCACCTAGCTTCTTGGCCAATTTTTTAACATTATAAATAGCATGAATAAAATCTAATTTTACAACAGCAATCATATGTTATAACTTATTAAATGTTTATTAAAAAATACTTCCTTAGACAAGATACCATAAAACAGGCAGGTACAGTAGCTTAATCTCAGCTATTCAGGAGGGGGAGATCAGGAGGATTGTGGTTTGAGGTTAATATGGGTAAAAAGCGAGACCCCCCATCTCAATTAATAAGCCAGGCATTGTGGCACATACTAATGATTCTAGCCACATGGGAGGCAAAGGTAGGAGGACTGCAGTCTGAGGCTGGCCCCAGAAAACATGTGAGACCCTACCCCAAAAATAACGGAAGAAAAACAGGTTGGGGCATGTCTCCAGTGGTAGAGCACCTGCCTAGCAAACATGAGGCCCTCAGTTCAAACCCCAATGCTGCCAAAAAAAAAAAAAAAAAAAAGATACATTAAACTTTTATTAGAGAATATATGCTTTCATGCATGCACTTTTCTTACTTTAAAGAACTTAAATGTACTTTAACAAAAGTATCACATCAAAATCATTACACATACATTTAAAAATTAAACGATGCAGGGACTAGGAATGTAACTCAGTAGTACAGTGCTTGCCTAGCATGTACAAAGCCCTAGGTTTTATCAGTTCCTTAGAACTGGAAAAAAAAAATTAAGTTGATTGTTAAGTTCTCCTGGAAAAAAAAACACCTGTATTAATAATAAACTTTTCAGGCTAGTTCTGAAATGAAATTATTCTACCTGCATGACCTAATATGGGCACACATTTCCACTAATAAGTGTTTAATATACACTAATTTATTTAATCTGAGTCCAAGATCCAGAAGTTATTATTAACCCCTTTTACCTATCTGAAAATCAAGGGTGATTTTTCAAGAGTATGGAGCTTATAAACATTTATCTGAGATTTGAAGCAGTTCAGTCCGAGTCCAAATCCATCCTCTTTTCTAATAAACGTCATCCACTTTTAATTCCAAAAAGGATTCCCCTGAGTTACTACATTCCTCTTGTTTCAAAGAAGAAAGACAACTGCCACTAGAAGAACTGCACTGGAAATGGGTTCATTCTGTCATTACATTTGCTTCTCAGAACACATTCCTTTACATTCTCCCTTAGAAATTATTGAATACATAGAGGTTATATCTCAGGCCGACCCTCAAAATTTAACTATCAAAAAATAATACTTCAAAGAAAATGTTTGTTGGTTATAACAGGACAAAAGAATATCATTTTCCCTTAAACCCTCCAAAAATGCATCCCAAATCCTGAAGGTAACATGAAATTTTTTTTTGTCTTCCTCTAAAACACAACCAACAATGAGTTCATGTATTCTAGTCCTCAACATAAGCTCCATTAGGAAATGAGACTTAAACTACACCAGTTCTTGGGAAAGGTAGGAACAAAGCCAGGAAGAGAAAATGGTAGGAGAGAAAACAGCCACATTTATTTGGCTAAAGACCACAGGACCTCTACTATTCCAACTATTACTGTTCCAGTTCAGTATTTAAAAAGTTGTCTGAATTACGATGGAAATCTAACTACCATATTGTACTTGAAAACAGATTTGGAACACAACACACTTATTAATTGGAACCTACCTGTATTTAATAACACTGTTTGAAAGTAGATACCCCTTACAATTTTTCTGAAAATGAGATATTTTAGGAAGAGATAATGGTGAAGAAGTTATGACTCCCTTTAACTGCATATGCACAAAAAAGGCTCTGCATGTGAACTGTCCAAGCAGTGGAAATATGTTACATGATTTGAAGTGATTATACCCAAGTCATACATCCAAAATGCTTCAACACTACTCATTTCACATAAGAAGTCTGAGACTATGTTCAGATCCTTGCAATTGTGGAATTGCTTTTTATTACCAGAGTTTTTAACAACTGGCTTTAACAGTTTTTATTAATGGGACATATTTTGCTGTGCTGATATGATCAGTAAAACAAGACAGACATGTACTAGTGATGATAGTACACTTTACTTATACTGTGATGAGAAAGTAAATTCATTCAAAATTTCCACCTGAAGTACAATTTAGCAATAATTGCCAAGTCATAAAAATGTTCATAGCTTCTGATCAGTAATTCAACTTGTAAGAATTTATTCTAAGAAAAATATCACAGTTCCATAACAAGTTATCAAGGACTTTGTGCTAGGCATTATTCTTATGATTAAGGATGCATATTACATTATTTTTCAGCATCAAAAAATTGAGAAAAAAACTAAATATCTGATAATAGGATTAAAAAAGATATACTACCGCTAGAAACTATTACCAAAATATATCTAATAAGATACATATGTTATATTAAGCAAAAAAGCTAGATACAAAACTATGTGTAACTATATTCATGATCCCAAATTTACATTTTGAGATTTCTTGTTTAGTTCCTTTAACCTCTTTGTACTTCAGTATCTTCATCTATGAAATGAAGACTTCATATTTTGGATATAAAATAAAGACTTTACATTTCGTATCTCAAGGGATTGTTAAATGACTATTTGCAAAGTGCTTATAATATTCAATAAGTACTTTAAACATAAATAGCAACATATAAAACAACAGTAATTATTTCCTACTATTATTATTATACGTGCACATACAAATGCATGAACAGAAAAACGAAGAAATATATCAAAACATTATCAAAGATCCTGAATCCTAACAAAACTAATTCAGGAAATCTGAGCACTGACTGCATATTCAAAGATATTAAATGTTATTTTATAAGACTAGGTGTGGTGGTACATGCCTTTAATCCCAGCTACTTAGGAGGACTGTGGCTTGATACCAGCTCAGGAAAAAAGTTAGCAAGACCCCCTGTCAACTAACAATCTGGGCATGGTAGTACATGCCTATATAATTCTAGCTATGCAGGAGGTATAAGTAGGAGGACTGCCATCAGAGACCAGCCCAGGCAAAATTGCAAGATCCTTGCCAAAAAAATAAACCCAAACCCTTTTCTAAGTATGGCTCAACTCGTAGATACTTGCCTAGCAATTGCAAGGCTCTGAAATCAAAGCCCATTACCACCCAAAAAAAATTATTTTAAGCTGGGCATTGGTAGCTCACACCTGTCACCCTAGCTACTCAAGGGGCAAAGATCAGGAAGATCACAGTTCAAGGTCAGCCCAGGCAAATGGTTCACAAGACCCTATCTCAAAAATACTCAATATGAAAAAGGGCTGGCAGAGTGACTCAAGCAGTAGAGTGCCTGCCTAGCAAAGGTGAATTCCTGAGTTCAAGCCCCAGTACCACCAAAAAAAAAAAAAAAATCCTTACATCAAATTTAGGTATTTATGAATAAAATATGTTATATAAGATTTGCATTAAAATATTTTGGTGGGAAGGTTATTTTAAAAACCATTTTTAATTTTATCACAGATAAATTGTTTCTATGTAATGAAATTATTCCTAGCTTTTATTTTTATTGTATTTTTCTATTTTCTAAATTTTCTATGGTGTTTTGAAATTATTTTTAAAAGGAGAAAAAAAATTCAAGAAAATCCTTACCAATATTCCATCCACAGATGAAACTTTCTCCCAAGTTAACCAAGCTCTTTCTCTGATGTGATCTGGTGTCTTTAATTTCTGACATAATGCAGTAAAATCAGGTTCTTCTGTTTCTTCAAATTCAAGCCTACCAAGTGAAAATAATCATATAACAGGCACACATATAAATCAAGCTGAGCAAACATTTGTTTCAATAGTTTTCACATAATTGCACTATTCTGAAAGAGCATCACTAAGTACTTTAAGGTCTTATTTTATATTTTAAAAACTTACATTTAGAATTCAAACATACGTTTATCTTTTTCATGGTTCTTCCAAAATAAGAATACCACATGTTGAAAAATATTTGCTAGCATGATGAAGCAAATATACTCCAAGCAGCAAAACAGCTTTGTGAAAGACAGTAAGTGCAATAGCTCATGCTGTTGGAGAAAATGGGATCATGGGAACAGCAAGAAGGGAAAAACTACAGATAATATTACACAGTGGATTCAATGCCAGTGACTTTGCTAAACTGTGGTCTACACTTATCAATGATTCATATAACTGCTCTACCTATGAGTATTTCTTAGGTGATGATGAACTTGATATAAATTATTGCATCACTTATTTCAGCTTTCTCCTTGACCTTTCTTAACCATGGTAGGTATTCAAAAATTCCTGTTTAATTCCTTTCATTCATTTAATATCTATTTCACATCTAATAATAGTGGTGTGAGGAATGACTTCATTTTTGAGTATTTACTATGACCTTAGGTCCATAATTTTATGGAATCCCCACATCAACCCTAATCAGAAGTATGCTCATTCTTGTTTCACAGGTGCCTAGGAATCAGAGAAGTTAAAGCACTCACTTGAGATCACCTCAAGTAAGTAGCCATGGAAGGAACCCAACCGTCTAACTCCATAATCCATGCCCCTCACCACTATTCCACACTGCCAACTCCTCCCTCAAAGCGTAAGTAGCTTCTGATTATTTCAAGCATGAACGCGGTCAGTTTCCCTCCCAACTACATCACTTAGGCCAGAGATGATGCACTTCCAGTAACAACTCTCAAAGTAGAAAGGGATTCTGTCACTGGAAGTGCAGTTGGCCTGGGTTCTGAATCCATCCCTAAGCACATTTCTCAGCTTCAGGTTTCCAGGCAATGGCTCTACCCTTGCTAAGCACAGCCATGTGCCACAAAAGAACATTTCAGTCAACAACAGAATATACATCAGTAGTCCTAAAGCTCATAATGGAGCTAAAAAATTCCTATCACCTAATGACCTCTTAGCCATGATAATGTTGTATCCAAATGCATTACTTGTGTGTTTTGGGTGATGCCAGCATTAACAAACCGACTACACTGCCAGTCATATAAAAAATACAGCACATACAACTGTGTATAGTACCTAATACTTGATAACAAACAACAATGTTGCTGATTTATATACTTAGTATACTACACAGTTTCTCATTATTTTAGTACTTACTCCTACCTATTAAAAAATAAAGTTTATTGTAAAAGAGCATCTGTGTTGTATCAGGATTGGTCTCAAAAAATCTAGTGTTTACCTCCTCTCTTGACTGCAGCTAAAGGCTGCAGGGAGTGACTGACCTATACCATCTACCTTCGTGTAAGTGCATTCTATGATATTCACACAAAATTCACTTACAGATGCTGTTCTCTATCTCTGTTGTGAAGCACACAACTGTAGTTAATCTATAGAGGTCTGTTGTCTGTGCTGATGAAAACCCTTGTGAGTATGGATAATAAAGAACAGACTATAGTTGTATGATTTTGACTTACAGGAGAACTTTTCTACAGTTCCCAGCATTTAAGGATATATAAAATAATGTGTTGAGGATAAAATGAAAGACCCACCATCCTTCTTTTCCTAAGGTGATGGCCAGAACTTCAATTATCTATGTTTACTCTGTAATAAATGCTTCAAAAGCTGGGTACATGGCATGGGATTCTTAGGCATTACTGCTCTTTCCAAAGGGAAACTTTCAAGTATTGTATAAGTCAAAGTTTAATCAGAAACTAAAGTGATATCTTCTCCTAAAAAACCTCCAGACCTAGTTTTGTTTGTTTACTACTGTGTATGATTTGTAATTGAGCTATAAGACAATCATTTAAATATATTAATTTAACTAGCCCTGAACAGTCCATTTCCAAAATTCTACTCCAATCTTTTACAATTTGGCCCTTAATTCTGTCAGAGTCTGGACAATAAAAGGAAAGGTACTATTCAGTGAGGCTAAAATGGGGCCTGGTAGCCAGGCGTGGTGGCACAGGCCTGTAACCCCACCACTTGAGAGGCTGGGGCAGGAAGATGGTGAGTTCCAGGCAAGCCTGGGCTAGAGACTGTCTCAGAAAGAAGGGGATTGGAGCTGGTGATAAACTAGAAGGGGAGAGGCTGTGTGAGAGACTGAAATCATTCCCATTCTTCTGCAATACGTCTGTAATCTTAAAGTAAAACTGGTGTCGACAATAAAAAATGGCAATCATACTTTCAATTTTAGTTACTTCACCAGAGTCGAGAAAAATAAAATGTTGAAATACAGTATCTCTCTGTCCTGTTCTATTTCATCCACACGGACTTGCTTAAGTTTAGATTTCATTTAGTGAGCGGGGAGGAAAAATTTCCTCTGAGCACAAAAACACCACTGATTCTGTACCCAAAACAAACAAAACTAAAAAAGAGGGGACACCAGGATCTTTGCCGGCTCAACAGCCAAAAGACAAAGTAGAGAACATAATGAGGCATGCTGAGGTCAATTAACACGAAAAAAGAGTCCTATCCAACAGGAAAAAAAAAAAAATGAAGAAGTTTGGTCGCTTTCACGCACTTGTGCAAAACGTCTCCCGGAACTTTTGCCCACTTACAGTTCCTCTAAAGAGTTACGTTCCACCCGTCTGCGCTGATGGCTCTAAGTCCCCAAGGCCTCAAAGCATGGTGCTAAGAAAACCCCCAAATTGCCCCAACCGGGTACCCTGAAGACAACCGGTACCCAGGACCGAGCAGGTCAGGTCCAAGGCAGTGACTGGCGTGTTGCAAGGCTGGGCTGCGGATGCAGCGCGCGCCCAGAGGAAAAGCCTCCCAACTGTTGCACGGCCGGCGCCGGCGCCGGGGAGAGAAAACGCCGGATCCCGGCAGGAGAAGAGCAGCCGGCGTCTTTGTATTTGTGCCTCGCTTTTTGTGCGTCGGACGGGGGCTCGCCATGACCCGCCGCCTCCGCGCCTCCGCGCCTCCGTCCCGCTGGAGCGAAGCCTGCACCTGTCACTTCGCTCAGGAGCCCGAGCCCCACCCGCCCGACACCTGTCAAGCTGCAGCCGCGACCCCTGCGGGATGCCCGCCCCTCCCTGGCGAGCCCAGAACCCTGTCACCGTCCTGCCGCCGTTCCGATGTGCTGGGGCGGGGGGGTAGGAAGGAGGAGGACACACAGGGACCCCGATCCCGGAGGGACCCGGCCTGGCGCAGAGATGCGCCCCCCGCCTCGCCGCCCGCGCGCCGCACCTTGTGCGCGCCCTTCCCGCCGGCGGGCCGCGGCGGCGGCGGCTCTGCCGGCTCACCTGGCCAGAGGCAGGTCCTCGGGGCCGCTGTCCTGCTCCGGGTCCTCCTCAGGAGGAGGAGGCGGTGGCGGCGGTGCCGGGGGTTCCACGGCAGTGGCAGCGGCAGCGGCGGCCGCCGCTCTTCGGGGGGTCTTGGGCGGCATGACGCTCTCCCCCGGGCCGGCGGCAGCGAGCTCTGGAGGCGCGCGGGGAAGCCGGCGCGCGCGCGCACGTCGGGGCACGCCCCGTCCTCGCCCGACTCCCGTTACAAAAATAATTTGAACGTCCCCTGAGAGAAACCGGACGCGCCCTCCCCCGCCCGGCAACCGAGCGCCGCGTCCAACCGCGGGAAAACGTCACTTCCGCCCCGCGGCGTCACGTCCGCGAGGCTCCCGGGCCCGCCGGCATCTGGGGGGGACCTGGGCGCCGCGGGGGCGATGTGCGGGCCGGGCAGAGGGCGGGTGAGCAGGGCGGGAAGGCCGGGCATCCCCGGAAGCCAGCGCTGCTGCCTGGACCCGTGTCTCCCTCAAATTCTGCTGTCGAGGCCGGCGAGCCTGGAAGGCGGCGTTACAAAGGGTCTGGTGGGTGACACCCGGCCCCCATCTCTATCTGTGGGACCGATCGGGCCAGGCGGGCACGCCCCTCTCCCTCCGCGGCCGCGCCTCCTTCCCCAGCCCACTGCTCCCGCCCAATCCCTGGAGCACTGCAGGCCAAAACAAAAACAAACGTGGAACTCGCATAGGGGCTGGACTTTGCCAATCACTGGGAGTTAAAAAGAGTGGGGCGGTTACTGGCCTTTGGAGGATCCCCTGTTAGGAAAAGGGGAGGTGTGCACCTGAAACAGATTATAAAAGATCTCAGTAGTGTGAAAACAGGAGATAACGATCTAAAGCAGATCTTCAGAGGGACACTGGCAATTGAAAAGTTTACCAGGTCGACCTAATGGTGAAGGCTGGCTTACCATGTTCCAAGCATTGTGCTGGCCACCTTATATAATTATCTCATTTAATCCTCCAGAAACAGCCCATCAGAATGAGTAATGTTAGCATTCCACGTTGCGGATTGATAAACAGCCTCGAAGGAGTTAATTTGCCCTACACCACACAGCAGATGGGTGGCAAAGAACTTGAACCCTAGCATGTTTGACTTCATCACATTATGTTGCAAGAGCACAAAGGCATCAATAAAGAGCTTATTCGAACCACCACCATCAAACACTGGCTTAGAAGCTGTATCTCTTCTGTCTCTTGACATTTATTTGTTTAATAGATGTCTCAGTTAAGTACGTGATTTTTTTCTCTTTAGCAGACACTGTTGATTGATCTGTCAGAACTCCCCAACTGAGATGCTGTGAATAAAATACAGTTGTGCTCTGGTGTAAATTCCCTTATCTTGGAACAGCTGAGCAAGGACTGAGGCAGTAGGAACCTTCCAGCAGGTTGCAAGCCTGGGTTTATCCCAGCAAGTTGTATACTGGATTATCGTTTTCTCAGTATACCATGACATATGCCAGGACGTGTGAAGGTTTGCAAGAACTGGCCTGCTCAAAGCCAGTCCCGCCCGACTTCCCAGCCCTCTATTGAGGGCCAAATGTTTGTCAGGTGCAGCCACTGAGAATGAATGTGATTCAAGTAGTATTTAGGCAACCGCTTGGGATGCATTCCGACCTTTGGATGATCAAGGATAGTTGCCTGGTTGGGGGGAGGGCTGGTAAAATGAGATACAGAGATGACACAACTCTACCCTTTAACTATTATCCTGAGAATGTCACACTTGCCAGTTGCTGTAGCTATTGTTACCTGAAGCAGGGATAAGGCAGAAATGGTAAGGTTAGTGTAGTAGGAATAGCGAAAGAATCTGAGTCCTCAGTGATATAAAAGTGTCTCTGATTTGAACAACCCTGAGCTCACCTCAACTGAGCTGATGTTTTCAGCTGTTTGCACCAGAAAGCATCATGACTAATAGTATTTCTCCTGTGAGCTCCTTCAGGATAGAGAACACATCTTAGGCATCATTGTAGCCTTACTTCTTAGCACAGTGCTGGGCACACAGTAAGTGCTTGCTCGCTAAAAGTTGGAAGAGCAGGAGAGTCAAGGAAAGTTCTGGGAACTGAAGTTAACACTCTTCACATGTAGATACGACTTGCTTTATTTAAACTTAGTTTTTTAACATCTGGAATTTACCACAATTAAGATAAATCAAAGAGAGATTTATCAATTTACAATATAACGTGTATCCTTACTATGACTTAATTAAAGTATGTTCCTTAAAGCATTTAAAATATATTTTCTGTGGGAGGGAAGAGTGGAAGGAGAGGGAAGGTGGCCCAAACAATTATACACATGTAAGTAAATGTAAAAACGATAAAAGAAAGGAAAAAAAATAAATATATTTTCCACCAGATGCCAGTGGCTCACTTCTGTAATCCTAGCTACTCAGGAGGTAGAGATTAAGGATAACCCTGGCCACAAAAATGACACTATCTCAAAAAGAAAAAAAAAATACCTAATACAAAAAAGAGCTGGTGGGGTGGCTCAACTGGTAGGTGCCCGCCTACCAAGCGTGAGACCCTGAGTTCAAACCCCAGTACCAAAAAATTTTATTTCCTTCTCTACAAGTCAGGCACAATTAAGTCAACCAACGTTCTTGCATTCTCCACCACAGGTTTCTGTAGCACTATCAAAAAAGAATTGGAAATTCTATAGATTCTTAATAGAAGATCCCCTGATCTCCCGCAACATAGAAAGTAGTTTGCTATAAAATATAAAGTAGAAAGTAGTAGAATGCTATAAAATATAACAAAACAAAAACTCTTTCTGAAGCTGAGTGTGGTGGTAGTGTGGAACAATAATCCCAGCTACTTGGAGGCAGAGATAGGAGGAGTGCAGTCTAAGGCCTGCCCAAGCAAAAGCAGGAGACCCCTACCTGAAAAACTGAAATGTAAAAGGACTGGGGCATGGCTCAAGTGATAGAATCTTTACCAAGCTCCAGACCCTGAATTCAATCCCCAGTATCCCTACCACTTCCCTCCACCCCCCCCAAAAAAAGGACACCTTTTCTTAGATTTTTAATCTAGAAAGGGAGCTTTCTTCAGCTTGGAACCTCTTCAATGGCATTAGAATAGTTTTTGAGTCCCCACTAATAAAGCAAGTCTTCCTTCACATTTTTATTCTTCCAAATTTTCACACTGTTTACATTTCCTTACTGTCTTGTTTCTTGAAAGGGCAGTCCCCATTGGGTCACATTACTTCCCCAATTCCTCAGTCTGGTAATGTCTGACTTTACCATCATCAGCACTCTACTGATACCACTTTCAAAGGTCACCAGTGTTCTGATGCCAGTTCAATGGCTTCATTCTGGTCCTCAACCTTCTTTGACCTTTCTTACAGTTAACAGAATTAATCACTTCTCCTTTCTTAAGAATTACCCAGTCTTCCATAGATCCATGATCTCCTCCTCCCTCCTGTTACTTCATAAACCCCTTCCCTAGTTCTTTTTCTGCCAGTCTCTTTAATAAAGGTGTTTCCTAGGACAGTGCTACACAAGTGGTGCGCTTTGTACCAGTGCCAGTCTGCAAACTGCTTGTGTTTAGTCCACAAGAAGTTAGATACAGACATTAAGTGCTAAGTCAAATGTAGTGCTTCAGGTCTGCAATCCTAGCACTCAGGTGGCTGAGTCAGCAGAATCACAAGTTTGATGCCAGCCTATAGTGAGTTCCAGGCTAGCTTGGACTAAGTAAAACACAAAAGAGTAAGTACCTAGAGTTTATTGCAGTAATATTATTATGTACTTAATATAATATAATAAGTAATATTCAAGTACATAATCTTTGGAAACTTCTCATTAAACAAAATACAGAGCATAAAACAACTCAGTTCTCCAATTTGTGTGGTGAGTTGCAAGTGACATGCTATGTACTTGTCATGTTGATACCATATGACAATGAGTGAAATGTTAAGGTTAGTTTGTCTCCTGAAACTCAAAAATCTTTGAAAATGTAAATACTTATTTACTTTTTATTTTATAGTCATTTTAATTTTTATTTGAGCCTGTTTCATTGAAATTCATAGCTAAGTTAAGAAAGTAAAATCCGTTATTTATTTTAAACCCAATATTGTAGATGGTGAAACAAGCCTCACTGTTTAGTCAATAAAAGCCACATCTGAGCTGGGGACCAGTGACTCACCCTATAATCCTCAATACTTGGGAGGCTGAGATCAGAGGATCTCAGTTTGAGGCCAGACCAGGGAAATAGTTTTCGAGAGCCCATCTCCAGAATAACCAGAGCAAAATGGACTGGAGGTGTGGTTTAAGTACCGGAGAACCTGCTTTGCAAGCATGAAACCCTGAGTTCAAACCCCAGTCCCACCAAATAAACAAACAAAAAAAAGTAAAATAAAATAAAGCCCACTGCCAAAAGATGCATCTGTAGTATGTTAGTAATAGTGTAGCAAGATACACAGAGATCATAGAGTGATTCCAAAGAATTAAAGACCTAAGAGTTTGTACTATTTCACTAGGAGTGCAATTCCCCATTCATTGAGTCGGCAATGAATTCAATAAATTCATAACAAAGTGCAAAAATCATGTAGTAACTAATGAGGCAATAAATAAATTATAAATTTGCTAAAACATTTTGAATATTTACTTTCTATCAAAATAAACTTCACACAGAGAAGTCTCATGAATCCACAATCCATTTCTTCCATTGAAATGGACTGAATTAAAATATAACTGGAATTATATGTGACAGTTTTTGAAACTGGATGCTGATGAAGGACGGAAGATGAATTTTGAAAATATAGCATTACTTCCTTCTTTGTGAATAAAAATTGAAAGTGAAAATCCTGAACTTTCTGAAATAGCTTAAATCTTTTATTCCATTGCCTTCATATCTTTGAGAGATGGTTCCTCTTGTACTAGTGTTATGAAAATAAAGTATAAAAACAATTTAGCTGTACATTTTCTCAAGTGGCATGTCATCAATCCAACTAACGTAGATTAAATCATTTAACAAGTAAGGAACACACTCATTTATCACATTGAAATTTTTAAATTGATATTAATGTTGTTTGTGTAGTATTTAATATGAGAAATTGCTACTTTACCCAAAATTTTGTATTATGACTGTGGAATAACAAAAACTAGGGTTATATGGGCAATTTTGTATATTAACTATATATGAACACTTTTGCAATAAACATTTTAAAATTCTTTTCCTTCCTCCTATGTTATACTTGTCCTGATTATAGTTATTGGAATATAATTTTATTTCTGCTTAATCCAAAAAAAATCTAGGCTTGTATTTGATGTGCCTTTGT